CACAGGTTCAACAGTGGAAAGAAACACCTCTTACTGCTGCATGATGGGAGTTGCTTCACACTGTCACTGTTTCTGGAAATTACGTTAAAAACAGTGACAGCGTTTTGTAAGAAAGGAAGTTACTTTAACAGAGGGAGTTAGCAACTTTACAAAACAGAGTCAAAGAGAAAAGAGTTGCTGAAATAAAAGGAAGTTTGTCTGTCCCAATGTCACTTTCAGTCACAAACACCACCAGACAATTGCTTGTTAGCCATCTCTCTCGCTCCAGCAGAAGCAGCAGAAGGTTAAACTGAAGGACGTCAGCAGAGGACTGAGAATGGCAGTTTGCACTGAAAAGACTCTGTGGAGCTTCATGTTCCTCCTGACAGGTGAGACTGAAGTGATGCTTTCATTAGTTTTTAACCTCCAGAGAAAGCCGACACTGTCACAGGAACAGGAAAGAAGAAAGCAGAAGGGCGTCTGAGCAGATTTATTAGTGTAAAAGAATTTAAGACCTCATTGTTTTTCTCTTTTTGCTGAAATGATGACCCTGGCTGCACTGCTATGAAACATATTTGCTTTATAAAACCCAGTTTAAACTTACTGGGACAAATGCGACAAAGTAACTGCTGCCTGAGCCTAATAAGTGTTGTGTGACCCGGGTGTGTGTGGCAGCTGTCACTGAGTCTTACTTCACTCTGCAGGAATTCAGAAAACTCGCAGAAATGTTTACATTCAGTCACACTGGAGATACAGGTATGTACTAATAATAAAGTAACAAACGTACATTTTTAAAGTAATATCTATAAATGAATCTCAGTCAAAAGAGGTTGAAGAAAGTTTACTTTAACACAATATTACACAATATCATAAACTCTTCGTGGCACAATCCTAATGTAACACACGAATGATTAAAGCTTTCAGGTAAATGTAGCTGAGTAACTGCTACAATATTTCATTTTGCGATATAAGTACAGATAGACGTATAATTTCATTTCACAGGCTGTACATCCTCAACTCATCTGCTCGTATGTCAGGCCGGAGATGTGAGGGAGAACAAACACTGGTGTGTGAGGAAATCGATAGACAGAGAGAAAAACACTTTATTTCTTATACATGTTTTTTGTTGCTATACAATAATAAGTCCATGGTTTGAACATCCTTCGAGCTCAGCGCTCTCCATACTCGATAAACTACATGGCCTGATGTCCTCATGTAGGCCTTTCAGTGTCATAGCGACCACTAGATGGCACTATCAGTGGCCCGCTACCTTAACAATGAACCATGCAAAGAACATGTGAGCTTTATTCGATGGAGATTATGTATCAGAATTTTATGAGCAGGACCACGCCCCACTCCATCCTTGGAGGCCTTCCCCAAACCGCAGCTCAATTCATGTCCAAGCATCACCTTTACCTACTCAAACACTGTCAAACCTAAAATAAGGACGTGGGCCCAGCTAGTGAAATGATGGTTTGCATGTTTAATAGAGATACATGGTACGTGTTGTGTTCCTTGGAACACTTGCAGGATGTTACGGTGGGCTTCAGCATGTGTTATTGCATCAGTAGTTATGGTGTGAACATATACATATAATTACTTCTATACCATCTGTTTCCAGGTGCTGTGGGTCAAACTGTGATCTATCCTTTCACGTCTACCTGTGCTGTCAGAGGGTCCACTGTCACCCTCCCCTGCACCTTCACACCTCTGAAGTCTTTCAGTGATGGTCAGAGAGAAGTTCTTCTAAAGATCGTCAGAGTCCGCTGGTGTAAGAACCATTCGGTCTGTCAGGGCACCACTCCATCTGTGTATGACAGTGACTCAGCAAACATCGATCCTCGTTATCAATATCTGGGAGACAAGAAGACAAACTGCACTTTACAGATCAGAGATGTTCAGCAGAGAGACAACGCAAGCTTTCGCTTCAGGATGGAAGCTGATCATCCTAAAGGACATTTTACTAACCAGACAGGAGTGACTGTCACGGTTGTTGGTGAGAGAAAAATATCCTGACATTAATAAAAAAAACATAAATGAGCGTTCAATGAAACTAATGATCACTTTGATTTTAGATTCGTCTAAAATGAGAATAATCAGCTCCAGTGATGATAAAACGGTGAGCAGAGGTGAAACCGTCACACTGCTCTGTGCTTCAGTCTGCACTTTCCACCAACTGGAGGTCACGTGGTTCAAAGATGGCCACGCCCTCTCAGACACTGGCTCCTCTCTTGAGCTCGACAATGTGACTGCAGAGGATTCTGGGAACTACACCTGTGCTCTGAAGAGCATCATGGAGACTCTCTCTGAGCCGTACAGCCTGCAGGTGGAGGCGGAGGAACGACAGCCTGGTATCTTTTTCAGATATTACACAAACTGTAAATACACTGCAGGCGTTTCTCTAATGCACAGCAGAGGGGGCTGATGTCAGTCAGTAGAGCACTTTATAGAGCTGACAGATTCAAGCATACTTCCATTCGTTCATGGATATTCGGTGTAAAGTAGCCAGAGTGTGAAAGATAAAGGAGAAGTGAGCCTCTAAAAATGAGCTTCAGCTGCTGTTTAAAACAAACCACTAATTCAGCCGTTGTGATGAAGACTGTTTCAGAGGCGCCACAGCTGGAAGCCTGGTCACCTCTGGATATAAACGCAGAGTATTGAACAGTTAAAACGCAGAGAGCAACAAGGTCTCAGCAGGTCTGTTATGTGCGGAGGAGTCTGGCTTTGCAGGGATTTAAATGCAATTAAAATATTTAAAAACATTTTAATTTCCACAGTAAGCCGATGAAGGGAAACCAGACTGGCGTGTGAGGATTTCTAGATATCGTCATGATAAATTATATGGAAAACCACAAACAACGTAACCATAAATGATGCAAAAACAAATAAAAGTTTACAGTTTTTTGGAGAACAAGGGGATTTTTGTCTAGTCTGTTTCTTTATTTGTAAATTTCTTTATGAATTATTTTTGATTTTTACAGTTGATGGTAACCTGCCTCTGATAGTCGGCGTGGTGTCGGGTGTCCTGCTGGCTGTCATCGCATTCATACTCTTCATCTTCATCATCAGAAGGTACAAATCACACTTTATGTTTCTTCTACATTTAAAATTTTTAACATTTTGGTGGTTTTTAATGTGTAAAGAATCGTAAAGGACACACACACACACACACACACACACACACACACACACACACACAAACACACTGTAAATTATATTTTTGTTTTATTTTACGAGTGTTATTTTAATGATAATGATCCCAAAAAGTCACAGGAAACACAGACGTGTGTGACATGTTTTGTGTGCAGAAAGTTTTGAACATGAGTGGAAACATATCAGAACTATAAACATGAAGTATTGATTAATACTCGCCTGTATTTCTAAATAAGTCATTTCTCCAAATGTAAGTGGGAGAAGCAGCAGCGAGAACTGTCAACTCTGCGTTTATTTTTACACAAGCATTGCAGCTCTGAACTTCTCTAGGTTTTCCTACTTCTGAGTTATGATAGTAACGTATAAAATTAAAGATGTTTAAAGCACACTTTTACACAGAAATCATACAAATCGGTGCATCAACTTTCACCACAGTGCAGAAAAGATATTTTGGGTTCAAAATGTTCTAAACCTCGATCTGAGAAGATGAATTAAGTCTGTTCATTATTAAACTTTTGCATAATGAAAGAATCTGTTGTGCGTAACAGTCAAAAGAGAAGCAAGTATCCAAGAAAGAATTACATTAAATTATTGTTATGTGCTGATGACCACAACGGAGGAGAAGGGGAAGCGACGCTGGTCTCTGGCACATAATTGTGATACAATAAGACAAAATAATGTCGAGGCAGCAAG